AGTGAATTATGGCAGCACAGTGGGTTGTTGTGAAGGTTGAGTGAATAAACTTGCATAACATGCCCTAGACCAGTACCTGGCATCAAGTGAAGAGTTCACAGCTACAGATAATGGTGGTGCTGCTGGTGGTATTAAATGGAATTATTTGAAAGGCATTTGACATATTTCTCGTTAGGTTTGATTCCACCAAGCGGCTGCACCCAGGAATCCGTATAGCCAGCCTTCTCCTCTTCCTCAGGTGTTATTTACCTACAGGTAGACGTAACCAATCAAAAATGCTAAGACATAATTACTAACCGGAGAGATTCCTTCCCAAGTTGAGTGTAGTTGGAAAGGCTAAAATAAAGTAGTAATAATGGAAGACGTTGTTTAAATCGTTTAATCTAGCCCCTTACCCACAGACATATGAATGCGTGCTAAGTGGCCAAGCTGGAGAGGAAGGAGGAGAGTTCGGGCAGTCTCGTCCCTCGGAGCAGGAAAAGAATTTGCAGACAGAGTGAGTGGTCAGGGAAGCTGGAGACCAGCGGATTTGGAAATGAACTGATTTACTGATAAACTTCAAGGGCGTAGATAACAGTGAGACCCTGTGACATCTAACTTTCTACCAGGGCACTGTTTAACAAAGGCCTTTTCTGAGGCTATCTCTAAGTCCCATTAGCCTCACTTGAGTTCCTGCCTCCATCTGATTTCTGAAACTTCTGCAATGCAAAATCGGCTCATTATTTTCACCATCTGAATGGCATGCGGCATGAGTTTCAGAGCAATTCTTTTAAAAAAATCCTTCTTCGCCTCCCTCGATAAACGCACTAAGATGACCCCTTTAGCTATTTCAAGGTTTTATTGCTCAGCCATAAAAATTGTCATGATATCGAACACTGAAATGACTGTGGCAATTACATTTCATTACAATTCCTAGTAAGCTTGCCACTAAGATTTTCAAAGCCTTTAGCTCAAGCATGTCAAACTCAAAGGCGTTAACATGAGGCAAATAAATGAGGCATGGGGCCCTCGGGCCACGAGTTTGACATGCTTGCTTTAGCTAATTATCTAATGAGGTCTAAGATTTTTTCAAAGGGTACATGGTATGAAAAGTAATTGGCAGATTAGTCCAAGGCTCTTATTCTATACAAGAATGTGGGTGGGTATTTGTGTGTATGTGGTGTATGTGGGTATATGTGGGTGTGCATGTTTATACATATACATGCATGTATGTATGTATGTTTGATTTTGCATAAACCTTATCAATGCCAAGGACAGTGCCAGACCTCAGGTGTGTTTAAATTCAGCTCTTCAGGGAGGAAACAGCTGTTTCTTTCATCTCTATCCCATAAGAAGTTAGCAGGAATTTGGCTAACAGAAAATGCAGGTTGTATTCCAAATGGGCTAAGTCACTAAAGATTCTGCCTACGCTTTTGTGTTCTACAGGCATCTACTTGTACTCTCAGCTCTTCCAGGCCAAAAAAAAAGGCAGAGTTTTTTTTTAATGTATCGTGATTATTTAAAAGGAGGGTCTTCACCATAGTTGTGTGTTTTAAAATTAGTATTTGTACTAAAGTTGATATAAATTGGAACCACAAAAAACATAGGCCATCATTTTTCAAGAATCAAGTCAGCCATGCCCTGACAGCGTGGCTTATTGAGCGTCGATCTATGAACCAGGAGGTCATGGTTTGATTCCCGGTTGGGACACATGCCTGGGTTGTGGGCTCAATCCCCAAGTGTGGGGTATACAAGAGGAAGCCAATCAATGATTCTCTCCCATCAATGATGTTTCTATTTGTCTCTCCCTCTCACTTCCTCTCTGAAATCAATAAAAATGTATTTTAAAAAATCAACTTAGCCACATTTTTCTGTCTGGTAGAAAGGAGAGCACTTGGTAAGTTTCTGCTTGGCTTGGATTGCGAGTCCCCTGACCACTTACTGCTTCTATAGACATGCAGCAGTCAACGCTCAGGTTTTAAACTGAGGTAGAGATTACCCAGGTGGACGGATACGTTCTAAACCATTTGGATTTAAGACAGATATAGACAGGCACTCAAGCACCATTGATTCCCAAACTTTATGGAGCTATAAAAAACGTCTATTTTTATGACATTTTTCACCAGCAAGAATTCTACTTGGCATATAATTATTTTTTAAAGATATTTTTCATTGACTTTTCGAGAGAGAGAAAGGGAGAGGAGGGGAGAGAGAGAGATAGAGAGAAGCATCAATGTGAGAGTGAAACAGAGATGAGCGAAACAGATCAGCTGCCTCCCCTAAACCCCCTTCCAAGGATGGAGGCTGAAACCCAGGCATGTGCCCTGACCAGGAATCAAACCAACAATCCCTCGATGCAGGCGACGACATCCAACCAACTGAGCCACACCAGCCAGGGCCTAATTACTTCTTAATGGAGTTGTATCTGAGTTTCCGAGAATGTTTCACGGCACCTCCTCAAACTAACTGGGCGTATCTGGGAGGGCTGCAAAGCCAGGCCTGGGCAGCACTGGTCTCCACCTGAGACGGCAGAACTGTGGAAGGGCACACGCAGTTTTCAGCTAAGAGCGGGGGAAGACTCAGCTCTGTCACTCATCAACTAACTGTGGAGAGAGAGTGAGAACGGGTTACTCTTAGTTTTGCCAGCAGAGATGAGCTGGCAGCGTTCACCTGTTCAACTGGCGGCACTCTGCATTTCTAGACACATTTCAAACACCCACACCCAAGAATACGTACCCCTCTCAAATACTCATGCATCTGAGCTACTTACACCTAAAGAGATCCTTTCTGCCCTCCTCCTTGGAACCAGATGCTGTGAATCTAAAGGCCAGGGACTCCTTAAAATCACCAGGGAAGCTTTTGAACATCCCACTGTAGAGCCAAGTGTGAGAACCACTGACCCGACATAACTCAGTGTGCCTAGTCAAACTGACTTCACATTTGGGGGGTTTTTGTCTTTGTTTTCGGTTAGATCATCTCTATTTAGTTCACCTGTAGACTGTTCTTGCTGACGTAGCCTTTTCATGGCTTTGTAAAACAGGTGGTGAGTTGCCTTGTCTTTTGAGCTCCTGCCTCTCTGAATGGAGATGTTGAACGTCCCAGGCTTTCTGTCCAAGCCACAGAGGAAGGTGGTGACCTGATGTGGCCCGAATGATGTGGCTTGAAGCAATCAAATTCAATAGCACCATGGAGTGTATGGGGGCTCAGGCAAAATCACAGAGCCAGTCCTCTGTAGCTGGGATTTGGGAACAATATCGTAGAAACGCAAAGGCAGCTGAGAGAGTTCAACCCTCACTGAAGGCAGATGACTCCAGTAAGAGAAAACAAACCGTTCTGGCTTGTGAATGGTTCATACCATTTTATACACGAGTGAGTGTCATGTGTCTGCTGGCCAAACTTTACCTTGCCTTCTGAAGTCGAAAAGTTACCCAAAGTACGGTACAGGTACAAGGGGCCACCTGAGATATTTTATGGGGTGCATGAAAGAACGTCTTTTATTTAATAATGTTGTATTTGCTTTCCTATATGTGTGAAAATAACCAACTGGCACAAGAAACACATAATTTTACAATTATCATGGCTTTGGCCATGTTAGACAGTTTAGAAATGTGTCCATTTAAAGCAGTGGTTCTCAACCTTGGCTGCACATTAGAATCACCTGGGAATCTTTTTAAAATCCTGATTTCTGGGCCTCATCCTCCAGAAATTGTTTCTTTGTTACTAATGTTGTGGCCCCACCCCATAACAAAGAAACAGAATTTCCAGAGGATGAGGCCCAGAAATCAGGATTTAAAAAAAGATTCCCAGGTAATTCTAATGTGCAGCCAAAGTTGAGAACGACTGATTTAAAGAAAAGTCTGGGTACAATTACACACAGGTGATACTCATAGATGGAAGAGGAAAAAGACAAAAGTTTGATAACACTACCAGATAGCATTTGTAACAACCGTGGTCAACTTAAAGTTAAAGTCAGTATTCTTTCTGCTTCCCCAATTAACATTTTAGGGAGGGAGAAGGGGGGACATAAAAAGTCAGAGGAGGGTAATTAGGTCTTTCAGATATGGAAGGTCCTATGAAATGACTCTCAGGGGAAGCACTATTATTTCAGCCAGATTGATTCTCAAGAAACGGGGGTTTGGGGGACACTGAGACCCACCCCTGTGTCATATTTCTCCAAAATTAAATCGGCAGCATCTGCTACAGTTCTTTCTTTCTTTTGAAAGCTGCTGGGTAGATTTTCTTAAGTTTCCTTTCATTACAGTTTACATTCAATATTGTCTTGTATTAGTTTCAGGTGTACAGCATAGTGATTACACAATCATATACCCCAATACTTCCAGTACCCACCCGGCGGCGCCGGACATACTGGTAGTTGTTACAATGTTATTGACTATATTTCCTATGCACCAGTCTTGCTCAAAACCTCAAACTAGAAAACCCAGGGCCTGCTCCCCCCGCGTCTCTTGGGTAGGTGGCCGATGTCTCTTTAAGAGCAGCTCGCTCTGCCCTGCCAGGTGTGCCGCATCTGGGGCAGGATGAATAAGAAAGGCGGGCCCCAGGGAACCTCACGTGTCTGCCTGCGTGTCTGCCTGCGTGAAAGTTGGCTCGCCCCCGGGATGGACTCCGGTTCAACTCATCTCTGTCTTCCTCGTGTGCCACTCTTCTCCGGCTCCCGTTGGGAATTCAGGGGCCGAGAACAAAGCAGCCACGTTTGTTTTTCCAGAGAAGGAGAGAGGGGCCTGGGGAAAGCAGCCCTGGCAGCTGTGCCCGGTGCTTGCTGGATGGAGGGCTTTCCCCGCGTTTCCTTCGAGGCTCTGTTTAGTCTGGCTGGTCAGGGTTTATGTGTCCATGTTTGGCTCCGGTGTCACCGAGGTAGCTCTGATTTCCAGGGATTTGGTTGTCATCTGCCTTTGCTGCAGTGAGCGAGGCCTGGGAGCCACTTAGCAGCTCGCCGCGGGGGCGGCCCGCGCGGCTGCACCCCGAAGCGCGTGCGTAATGAAAAACACCCGTGGCTTTTGCAGAAGTGGCAGTGCATCGAGGACACGGCGGGCAAGCTCCGGATCCACAAGTGCAAAGGAGCCGGGGACCTGCTCGCCGCCCGGCAGAGCACGCGCAACCTCTACCCCCGCGGCTTCCAGGACAAGGACAAGGACAAGGACAAGGAGTGCCACTGCGGGGAGGCCGCCTACCGCGCCGGCCGCGGCCAGAGGAAGGGCCAGCGGCAGTTCCTGAGGAGCCAGGGCGCGCCAAGTAAGCCCGGCCGGCCATCTCCGGCAGCCGCTACGCTGACACTCCAGAGACCAAAGGCCGCACTGGCTCCCTTTTCCATACTGACAACGCATAGTTTTAGGGCCCAGGGCCAATAATCGTTCTGCTTAAAATACCAAAGCTAAGATAATTTGAGTTTTTGCTGTGTAAACACTCACTTAAGCATAGAACACACATGTATTCAGTAACAGCAGCAGACACAACACACAGGCCCGAAAACCATCAAGGGGCCGAGGGTGTGTATGTAGTTCAGGTAAGTTTTATTTTACCTTAATGCTAATGTCCTGATGTTTTCTGCCTTAAGTTGCTTTAAAAAAAAAAAAGAAAGAAAGAAAAATCCAAAGTTTCAGTGCTTGAGCCTTTAACAGGAGAAGCATGAAGCATAAATACTATTTTTAAAGGTATATCTGTTTTAGGACAATATTTCCCTTTTTTTAAATATATTTTATTGATTTTTTACAGAGAGGAAGGGAGAGGGATCGAGAGTTAGAAACATCGATCAGCTGCCTCCTGCACACCCCCTGACTGGAATCAAACCTGGGACCTTTCAGTCCACAGGCCGACGCTCTATCCACTGAGCCAAACCGGTTAGGGCAATATTTCTTTTTTTAATTCTACTTTTTGACTGGCAGAGTCAAACTAGTTGAAGTGTGAAAATCATTGCCTAGTATTTTATTTATAAAAAGTCTTATCAGGTAACTATGAGATGGTCTTTGCGAGTATATAGAAATGAAAACTTGGTCTCCTACCTTCCATAAAAGAGTGGGAGTCTAGTGCCATCTAGTGGTGTTATATGAACAGTGACTCGTTTCTGTGGTCATTCCTTTCTATATTGGTTTGGAAATAACCAAGATATGTAGAAATTCAATTCTGTGTCTGAAATTAGGAAACCAAATCATTTAGTAGAACAGTGGAAGCCCTTAAAGCTGGATTTTATATCCTCGGCTCCACAGGTGGACTTTAGGGGACCAGGAGCCCCCTAATATCCAAAATTTTAAGTATATTCTATCTGTACATGCACATTTTTCGGGATGCTCATAACTTCCAACAAATTCTCAAAGGAGTGCATAACCCAGAAGTCTAAGAACCATTAATTTGGGAGATTTTCTTTCCTCCCTGAGAGAAAATGCTAGGCTTAGTAATTTCTATGAAGACAGCAAATGTAAAACCCACAGGGATAAGGACCCCTGAGACGCTCCCTTAACTGAAACTGATTATCACGTTCAGCTGAGAAGTAGAGGCAGCGTTTTCTCTCCCAGGAAGTTGGATGTGGCTCCCGAGCATTGGTTTTTCAACACTGAGCAACTAAGGAAGTCTGGGGCACTCTTTCAAGCTGCGTGGAATCTTAGGTATTTGAAAGCAGGGGGTGTTTCTTCATCTGGAAACTGCCCTCAGAGCAGGATTCTACAGAGAGATGATCCTGATTCCGCAGCCAGTAGGTTCCCCTCTTTCCTGTCCTAGGAAGGGGAGGCCCTGTGAGCAAGCCCCACACAGACAAAGCGCATCTGGTAAGCAGGGACCAACGTTTGCACATTAAAGCTCTTCTCCAGCACACTGAGCCTCGACAGTGGTCTCCCGTGACCAGAGAACAGGCTGGCCTCCCCTGGCATGACCCGCCATCTGACGGGTATTAAGAGTCAGTTCGCTGATGGAAGCATGTGCCGAATTCAATTTTCCTTAGGGTAATCCTCTGTTATTTGTGTCAATAGCAGGAGTCTAGAGCATTTGCCTTTTTGCAAGAGCATCTCAGTGTAGTAGGAAGACTCTTTGGTTTTTAGAAGCTGAATTGCGTAGAATCTGAACCTACTGGCTGTATCACCTTGCAAAATGTACCTAACATTCAAAGCTCCAGTTCTCTCGCCCATAACATAAGGACACCAAATTCATCAGCCTGTTTGGGTAATCTGATATTTTTTAATGTAAAGATTTATCCTAATACCTGTCTTTTAAGATTAGAGATGAATAATACATAGCAAAAGCTCAAAAAATTATTAATACCATGATGGGGGCTATAGTTTTATTCACACTGCCTTCGCAGTTTATGTTGGAAATTCACTGTAGAAGTTCAGAGCCTGCCCGTAGTGGGAAGGGTCTTAGCCATCACTCAGACCTACCCCCTCAGTGGTGAGGAAGGGCCCGAGGCCAGAGATGCACAGTGGCCATCACACCACCATGGTGTCCCTCTGTGTACTGGATGCCCCTTTCCAAAATGCTCATCGAGCCACGTGATCATTTTCTTCTCTCCTAAGGTACGTCTGGACACCGTCTTAACGTATCTTCCCTCATTTCCAGAGTACAAGCCCAGGTTTGTCCACACTCGGCAGACACGGTCCTTGTCCGTGGAATTTGAAGGCGAAGTCTACGACATAAACCTGGAAGAAGAGGAGCTGCAAGTGTTGCAGCCGAGAAGCATTGCCAAGCGTCATGACGAAGGCCACAAGGGGCCAGGAGGTCGCCAAGCTGCCAACGGTGGCAACGGGGACGCCATGCTGGCCACCAGTGGCAATGCTGTGGGCCTGCCCACCACCGTCCGAGTGACCCACAAGTAGGAAGGCTTCGTGTGTTCAAAGGGTTGAGTTCAAAGTCATCCCCGCCTACTACCACCATTTGGTCCCTGTAAGAAGAGTAATGTCATTCAGCCAGATGATGTCCGGGGACCTCCCACATAACAGTGTGGGTTAAGGAAACAACAAGCAGCCCAAACAATAGTAGACGTGGGGGTGTGCTTTGGGTTCCGTTTCACATCGAGGCTGGTCAGCTGGGAATTGAGCCAGAGTGATTCTGTCACATCTTGACTTAGCAGGCGTGGAGTGCTGCGGTCAGCAGCCACCTTTGTGGGCATCTAGAAAACGGTGGGAAACCATCACCCAGACTGGTTAGGGGCTCCTCATGCTGGTGGTCACTGTGGCTCAGAGTAGATGCAGTCATGGACTCAGAAATGAGGCACAGATCAAGGGAGAAGCTCCCAGAGAGATGGCGTAGGCTGGGAATGGACGTGAGACGCAGGAACACCTCACCTGTCCGGATCCTGAAGGGCCAGGGCCTTGGGAGTCGCTGAGACTGGGGAGGGGGC